AATAAAATACTCTCCCGCGCGCCTTCTCAGCTCGGCCGGAGAAGCAGGGATGGGGGGGGGGAGGTGGAGGGGGGGGGGAGGAAGGGGGGGGCGGAGGAGGCGGGCGCCCCCGGCCACTGGCAGCTGCCTGTTCGGCTTGGCCAAAGCCAGGGAGGAGGAGAGGAGGAGGAGGAGGAGGAGGAGGAGGAGGAGGAGGAGGAGGAGGAGGAGGAGGAGGAGGAGGAGGAGGAGGAGGAGGAGGAGGAGGAGGAGAGGAGGAGGAGGAGGAGAGGAGGAGAGGAGGAGTGAGGAGGAGGAGGAGGAGGAAGAGAGAGGAGGAGGAGGAGGAGGAGGAGGAGGAGGCGGAGGAGGAGGAGGAGGAGAGAGGAGGAGGAGGAGGAGAGGAGGGGAGGTGAGAGAGTTGCCGGGTGTTCTCAGGCGAAAGTGGCTTGACGGCCCGAGCTCAGGGAATCTCGGAATCGCTGGCCTGGCTCGGCCACCGGCGAGCTCGGCCTGTGCGAATATTGTGCGTACCTGTGCGGGGCATGTGCGGGACGTGCAAGAATGCCGGGGCTGGCGTTCGTCTCCGGACGCCGGCGCGTTCGCGTCCGGCCGGTTCCGCGTGAGACGTCGTCGGCAATCTGGAGGCCGACGTGCTTTGACATGAAGTGATCTGGCCACCTTCGCCCGAGCCATCCTCGCAACTCTGGTCTCGGAGATGCCCTGCCCCATGGTGGCCCGGCCACTTTCGCTTGAGACATCCTCGGAACTCTGGGTTTCGAGACACCCTGAGCTGAGGTGGTTCGATCACTTTCGCCTGAGACATCCTCGCAACTCTGACCTCAGAGATCTCCTGCCCCATGCTGGTCAGGCTACTGTCGCCTGAGACATCCTCGCAAGTCTCGATTCCGATATGTCCCGAGCTGAGGTGGTCAGCCACTGTCGCCTGAGACATCCTCGCAACCCTGATCTCAATGATGCCCTGCTCAATAGTGTCTCGGCCCCTTTCGCCTGAGACATCCTCGGAACTCTGGGTTCCGAGACGCCTTGAGCTGAGGTTTTTTTTTTTTTTTTTTTTGTTAGAACACTTTTTTTTTTTTGTTTTGTTTTTCGTTTTAGACATCCTCGCCCGAGATGCCCTGAGTTGAGGTGTTCAGGCCACTTTCCCCTGAGACATCCTCGCAACTCTGACCTCAATGATGCCCTGCTCCATGGTGTCTCGGCCTTTTTCGCCAGAGACCCTCGCAACTCTGGGTTCCGAGATGCCCTGATCAGGTGGTCGGGCCACTCCTGCCTGAGACATCCTCGCAACTCTGGGTTCCGAGACGCCCTGGGCTGAGGTGGTCAAACCACTCTGGCCAGAGACATCCTCGCAACTCTGACCTCAGAGATCTCTTGCCCCATGGTGGTCAGACCACTTTCGCCTGAGACATCCTCACAACTCAGACCTCGGAGGTGTCCTGCCCCATGGTGGTCTGGACACCTTGACCAGCGACATCCTCGCCACTCTGGTTTCCAAAATGCCCTGCCCCATGGTGGTCCGGCCACGCTTGCCTGAGACATTCTCGCAACTCTGGGTAGCGAAATGCCCCGAGCTCAGGTGGTCAGGCCACTATCGCCTACGACATCTCTGCGGCATGTGCGGGCATGTGCGTCTATGCTTTCAGAGTTTTGCTTGACCGTGCATTCGAGTGTGCGTCGGACGGTGTGGCATGTGCGCGCATGTGCTGCAATGTTGTTGAGGCTTTTGTATATTTGCATGGGCATGTGCATGCGACTGTGCGGCATGTGCCTGCATGTGCGGCCCCTTCCGAACCACAATTTCAAAGTGAGCACTATAGAAGTGAGCGCTATAGAAGTGAGTCCGGTGTAATTTCCAGATGCTTTAAACACTAAAACATGGATTAAGCATTTAAAACATATGTTCAAAGCATGTTTAGACCATTTGATCCGACATTTTAATCACATGGTTAATTCGATGAAAGGACTGTTAGTGTGCCCAGTGTCGTGGCATTCACAACCCTTGCTGGCCGCGCCCGGCCCGCCAAGTGCGGCACATGGCCTCCTAGGGCCTCTGCATCCTTGTCGCGCATCCTTGTATTGTACGGGTTGATTGTACGCTGCATCTTCGTGGGGCGTCGTTTGTCACGTAAATGTTCGGTATGTTCTGACATCCGACGCGGGTTCGGTGCGGATTCGGCGCGGTCTGGACGTGGACCCGGCAGGGGTTCGGCGCGGAGTCGGCGCGGATTCGGTCTGCAGTCGCCGTGCCCTCGACGCGACGGAACAGGCAATGTCTCCTGAAGATGGAACATTCGCTTAGGGAATTTCTTGCTCCTCCCGCCCGGCGGGGCGCCGCGCCGCCGCCGACAGCGGCGGCTGTGCGGCGCGGGGCTCTCTCACCTTTTGCCAGGAGGGAGGGGGAGGCCGGGTGGCGCGGGGAGGAGGCTCCTCCCCCTCCTCCCCCTCCTCCTCCTCCTCCTCCTCCTCCTCCTCCTCCTCCTTCTCCTTCTCCTCCTCGGGCTCGAGGTCCGACCAGCCTCCGTCGGGAGTCGGGGAGAAGGCGGTAGCCTGTTGCTGCCTCGCGCTGGAAAAGTCATGTCGCTGGGCGGGGCGGCGCTCGCCGGCGCGGACACGGGCGCGGAGCCGCACGGCGCGGGCAAGTTCCGGCTGTTCGTCTCTACGCGCAAGACGTTCCTCCACGTGGAGGCGTCGCGGGCAGGGGTCCAGAGATCCGACGCTCCGAGGCGGCGGGTTTTAGGCCGTGTTCGCCCTTCTGGGGTCCCTCGCCGGGCTTCGCGAGGCCGTCCAAAAAGGGCTCGGGCCGGCAAGGCGGCCCTCCAAGGAAGTGGAGTCCAGGCCTCCAGGGCCCGCACGTCGAAAAAGTTGGAGCGGCCAGATGTCTGGGTCTGTCTCTTCCCCTTCTCTCAGGGGCAACGTCAGGGGGGGAGTACAGTGGGGGCCCATGCCAAGAAACACCCTGGTTGCTTCCAGGGTGCCCTGGGTGTCTTGGGTTTCGATGGTTTTGCTTAGGAAAGCGTGACGTTCCCACACCAGAAATCAAATGCCGTCCTGGGGTCTCAGAGTTGGGTTTCTTGTGGAAGGATTCTTGTGGACTGGCCTCCAATGTATGTGCTGGTTGTTTCATTCACAGCTTTCGCTCCAGCCAGGATGGCTTGCCCCCGGGGCCCCAGATTGGCCCAGGCCCGGTGCGCGCGTGTCTCCTCGGGGCTCGAGCCGAACAGTTTGTGTCGTTGACAGATGTCGTCGCTTTCTCATTCATTGGTTTGCCGATCGGCGCGGGCCCTCGCACCTTTCTCCCCCAGAGGACGCACCGCTCACCCAAAGGTCTGGAGCCAGACCCCCCCCTCACCCCCCTTCCGCCCAATGTCGAAACGCAGGAAAAGAAAACGCTCACCATCTCGCTCGTGCCACGCTACAAGCACCTGGCATCGCTCGGACGTGGGCATCTTTTTCGGCGAGGCCCATCGGGGAGCATCTTGGATCATCTTGCGAAAGATGCACGCGAGACATCGAACAATGCACGGGGAAGGGTGGACGTCCGAGCGATGGCAAGAGCAGCAGAGGGGGAACGCAAGCAACATCGCCTGCCTCAATCCTTTGTATGCTCGGTGTCATTCTGATGCAGGCCTCCCGAATGGGGCCAGAGCAGGTGGGGTCGGAGGATCGCGCCGCATCGCCGATGCTTCCCAAGTGCGGCCGAGTCGTGGATTGACTACAGAATTGATTTACCCCAAAATTGAAACTGCCGTCGGGTCTCCAACACTTTCGTATAGCGTCTGCAATTGCACAAAGAGTTATACGCAGTGGAATTTAGACTCGACGCGCAAATTAATGTTAGGGTGAATCATGTTGTAGTCAATACCCTACTCGATCGGAATCCGATGTTCTCGATCCCGACGTCGCGGGTGCGTCGCCGATGCGGCGCGATCCTCCGACACAATATGTTCTGGCCCCATTTGGGAGGCTTCCAATCGGGACGATCGAGATGGGTACGGAAAGAATGGGTACGATGACCAACAACAGTTCCTGTCCATTCTGAACAGGACTCGCTGTCCGCGACGCCGCGGACGTTGTTCGCTGAAGACAGCAAACCGCCCGCCCAACAGCGGCCGCTGTCGGATTTGGACAAAAGTTGTGAATGGGCATTGCGCCAATGTCTTCCGTACCCATTTTGGGCGTCCAAATCCAATGATTCGCAATGAACGGGGTCTTGAGGGATACGGGTCCAGACCCCGTGGCGTTCACCAGGGCCAGCTCGTCATCTTAAGTTTTTTTTTGGCAGCCTCAGGGGCCCCACAACGTTGAGAAGGTTCCAGGCCGCGCTTCCTCAGGATCCATTTGCGTCATGCTATCGCTGAGGTTTGAAGCATGCAGCAGAACTGTGTTTGTCCGGCGGCCCGCTCGGATTTCTCAGATCGGTGTTGGATGCCCTCCTGGAATGGTTTCTAGAGTATGCGGAAGGAATGGGCGAAAGTTCGGGAGAGAGAGAGAACGAGAGGGAGGGAGACAGAGAAAGAGAGAGGGAGGGAGAGAAAGAGCGAGAGAGAGAGAGAGAGAGCGAGAGCGAGAGAGAGAGAGAGAGCGAGAGAGGAGAGAGAGCGAGAGAGGAGAGAAAGAGAGAGCGAGAGAAAGAGAGAGCAGGAACAGGCTTGGAGCGCTTGCAAAAATGGCAGGACATCCACCGGTCGAGGTTGCCTTCCTTGTGCAAGCGCCGTTGCGGCTCCTCTGCTCCCCGCCGGCTGCCGACAGGAGTCCCCACGGCACGGCCGAGCCCCTGGAGCTCGGAAACCCCCTCCCCGTGTCTCGTCGCTCGCGCTGCTCCCTCGCCGCCCCCCTCCCCCCTCGCCCCCCTCCCCCCTCCCCCTCGCCCCACTCCCCCCCTCTCCCCCCTCCCCCCTCGCCCCCCCCGTCCCTCCCTCCCTCTCCCCCCTCCCCCCTCGCCCCCTCCCCCTCGCCCCCCTCGCCCCCCCCCTCCACCTGCCGCACATGCCACGAGGCCCCGGGAGGGAGCGCTGGGGCGGGGAGGGCGCCCGGGGCGGCCCCGAGCGCGACCCCCCCCCACCCCGTCGCCCCGCCCCGCCTGGCCCGCGCCCCCCTGCCCCTGCGGAGAAGCGCCAGGGCCCGCGCGCCGCCTGCTTGGTTCTGCCCCCGAGCCCAGCCCATCGCTGGGAGGGCCTGCCTGCTGTGGGGAGGTCGGGGGGCGGCCTCCCGTCCTCCGCCTCCCCGGGGGGGCGGGCGGAGAGGGCAGCTCTGCCCGCCGGGCGCCTTCCCGTGCCAAGGAGGGGCCTCTGCCGCCTCTCCTTCCTTCGTCTCGGGGGGGGGGGGCGGGAGGAGGTCCAGTCTGCCTCCTCTTCCTTCGTCTCGGGGGGGGGGGGGGGGGGGGGCGCTTCCCGCCTCGTGCCTCTGCCCACCTCTTCCGTCCGAGGGGCACCAGTCTGCCCACAGCGAGTCAGCTCCTGGCGGGGCTAGAGGACTGGGGTAGGTCGCTGCAGAACTTTCCGGAGCGCTCTCGGAGCGTTCTGGAGCGCTTTGGAACGGCCGCGGCACCTTTTCAAGCCAAGGGTGTGGCGCCTCAAGTCTGCTACGTTCCTGGGGCAAGGGTGCCCTGGTTTAGAGGCCATGTTGCCCTGAGAAGAGTCTTGTGCCCTCTAGCGTGTCCTCTATCTATGCTAATCTCGACCGCACACCCTCCAGAACTGCTGGATCTCGGAGATCCCCGACTTCTCCCGATCCGCTTCCGTCTCCGCCCCGGCCTTGTTCCCAGCCGTCCAGCCGCTCTAATGTTGTTCGATGCGTGGGCCCCAGAGGTCAGGACCGCTTCCCCACGGCTGGTATTGTCCGCCCTGCGTCGCCTTCTTGACGTCCCCGAGGCTCGGCGAAGGCCCCCTGCCCCAAAATGTCCGCCGCACCAAGTTCGTCGGAGCACCAGATCTCTGGGTCCTGCCCGTCTAGGCCTCCTAGATGGGGTCGGACTAGAATGGCGTCGGAGGAGCGCGCCGCATCGCCGATGCATCGCCGATGCGACTCGATGTGGAGCCCGATTTGCTCCACGTCGACGTCGCCCATGCATCGCCGACGTCGACGATGCATCGCCGGTGCATCGATGGTGCATCGCCGATGCATCGCCGATGCGGCGTCATCCTGCGACCCCATCTACTCGGGCCCCATCTAGGAGGAGGAGGAGGAGGAGCAGCAGGAGGAGCAGCAGGAGGAGCAGGAGGAGGAGGGGGAGGAGAGGAGTGGCCTCTGTGCCCGAGGTGATCCCGGTGGCCGGGCGCCCCCTCGCCCGCGCGAGCTCCCACCCCTGCCTCGCGGACCGCTACGGGGGGCTGCGGCTGGAGCTGCCGCAGCCCGCCCGGGGCGCCCGCGGGGGGGCCGCGCCGGGCCGCGCGCCGCCCGCGGAGGCCCCGCTCGGCCCTTCGGCGGCCACGGAGGGTGTGGTCTGCTCTTCGGTCCAAGCAGTGGCGAAGCGTCCTGGCTCGCCTATAGCCCTTCCAAACAATGTTCTAAGAACCTTTTGTGGTTTCCACGAAATGTTCTTAGAACATTTCTGGTTGATATTGTCTTGTTTTAACACATCGGGTTTATGTTCTAAGAACATTGTTGTTGATCTTAGAACATGTTTGGGTTCTAGGAACATTTCGTGGTAGGACTATAGGAATGCCGGGACGGTCGGTCCCTGCTCAATCGGTAGCAAACCATGCCGGGGCTCAAGAGACGGGGGTCAATGCAGACGGGGGTCAGCCAGGGCACCGGCTCCTGCAGGATCCTGCGAAGACCCCCTTTGGCTGACCAGGGTCAGCGAGCCGCTCGTGGACGCGAGGCGGCCGCGCATATTGGCTGACCCGGGTTTGCGAAGACCTGCGTTGCAGTTTTTTTTGTCTTGCATTTCAGTTTTTTGGTTTCTTCTGGATTGACCCGGGTCAGAAGATCCCCAATCATGAGAGCCTGGTATACCCTCTTAATTCCGTCTTTAGCGTCGATTGGCGTCGATTAGCATCTGGAGTCGATGCTATAGCACCGATGTGGCGTGGCTAGCGTCGATTCAGCGTCGATTTAGCGTCGATTGGCGTCGATTTGCAGGAGCCGACAAGATGGTATGGGAGGCTCCCATGAGTTGCCACCGAAGCTTGCGATCGGGGTGTGGCTTGCGATCGGCGTCGTTGGGGCCCCTGGGGTCACCACGGCGCTGTCCTCGTCGGGCCTCCGCGGTTCGCGGGGCGGAGAACTCCATCGGGGTACCCGCCCGCCCCCCACGGTGACCCCCCCGGGTGCCGATGGCAAACCATGCCCTTGGCACACCTCACCCTTCGGAGTCGGGGCCGTGAGACTTCTGCCCCCCCCCCCCCGCAAAAATCAGGTCGATCGAAATGGGAACGGAAAGAATGGGCACGATGCCTAACAGCAGTCCTTGTCCATTCTGAGCAGGATTCGCTGTCCGCGCCGGCGCGGACGTTGTCCATTCGAGGCACATAGTCGCCTGCCCAACAGCGGCCGCTCGGTTTGGGACAACATTTGTTATTAGGCATCGTACCCAGTGTTCCAAAATTGTCGTTGCGCGTCGTGGTTCTGATCAGAGGTCAGGGGAGGCAAAGGTACCCATACCGCTACCCTTCCCTCGTTTTCGCCGTTTTAGGCCTCCTGGGAGGCCCTCGTCGCCACCATTGGACTCGCCTCGAAAAACTAGTCAGGGCGCACCTCAGGAGAGGTCCGGGGAGTAGCGGTATCGGTACCTCTTGGCTTCCCCAAGAGGAGGGTACATGTATGTTTGCGCCGTGATGACAAATCTCGACGGAGGTGTTCTTTGCCCAGGTTCGTCTTCTGGGGGTCCTCAGCGGTCCTCAGGACCGCCATGAAACGACGTTTGATGAGAAGGCAGCCTTGGGGAAAGAGTCTCTATGGGTCCCAGATGGGGTCCGAGCGAATGCGATCCGAGGATCGCGCCGCATCGCCGGTGCATCGGCGATGCGGCCCGATGTGGAGGCCGATGTTCCCAAGGTCGACGTCGCCGATGCACAGACGACATCGACGAGGCACCGCCGCTGCATCGCCTTTGCCTCTGCATCGGCGATGCGGCGCGATCGCCCGACTCCATCTGCTCGGATCCCATTTGGGAGACCTCTAGTTGCGCGTCCTGGATCTTGTCCCCCAACCGGGGTGGTGACCACACCGTGTGGTGAGTCGGTTTGGGACTCGGGTCGTTCTCCGAGGACGTCTCGGGCCATTGGGGCGTCCGAGGTCCCAAAACCCTGTGTTGACGGACCGTGCGGTGAGGTCTTGGGGAATTTAGCGTTCACCGCACGGTTGTCACCGCACCGTTTCGGGACTCCAAAGGAGGGCACAGATATGCCCGCGCCGTGGACAAAACAACACGACGGATCGTTTGTTGCCCACGGTCAGCTTCCAGGCGTCCTCAGCGGGCCACGGGACCGTTACAACACGATTCATGATGAAAAAACCTGCTTTGGGGATATGACCATTGGTGTTGCTAAGGGGACTGGTGATTTAGAAGCGGATGCGAATATGGTTGATATCGAAGTCGCCTACGGCGAATCACCGCCGCCCCCCGCCTTTTGGAACCGCCCATGTGGTCGATCGTTGTGGCCAGAGCTCTGCCACATTGTCGGACCATGTGTTCCCCCAGCGGTTGTGGAGACCGTTCGGGGAACAAGCTGGGGAGAAGAAAGAAGCGCGGAGGAGGAGGAGGCGCGAATGAGGAGGAGGAGGAGGAGGAGGAAGAGGAGGAGGATGAGGAGGAGGAGGAGGAGGACACCTGGGGCCTCCTGGGAGCTTCCTGCGGGCCGTTTGGGGGCCTCTTGGAAGCCTCCTTGAGCCTCTTGGGGGTCTTTGGGGGTCTCTTGGACCGTCTGGGCAGTCTTATAAGCCATCTTGGGCGTCTTGGAGGCCCCTTGGGCCGTTTTGGACCGTTGGAAGACCGACCAGAAGCAAAGGGCCAAGTCCTTCGAACACCTAAGGCAAATCAATGCTTTCGGCCTCTTCCAGCCCACCTGGAGGACCCCTTGGAGGCCTCATGAGCCGTCTTGAAGGCCTCTTGGGGGCCGTCTTGGCCGTCTTTGAAATTTCTTTGGCGGACCATATTTAGGCAACGAACCGTACTAGGGGTGTGCCGAAATGAGTGGCGTGGTACACAACGCGAGCGAAAACGATTGATCTGAGTACGTGGGGAGACTGAGCGCGGGTGAATCTGAGCGCGAGTGCGTCTGACTGTGAATGAATATGCGTGCGAGCGAGTCTGCATGCATGAATGCGAGTATGAGAAAGCATGGTGTATTTGTAGATATGAATGTCAATAGTTTGAGAACGACTGCCTCGGGGTACTCGTGACGCTGGGCGTGGCCGCCGCAAGGAGCTTCCCCGGGACTCCCCGACGGCATCGCCCGCGCGCCGCGACGCCAATGTCGGCGCGCCCCCCTTGCGAGGATCGCGCCCGCTTCCTCCCCTTCTTTTACTCCTTCTTTGCCCGCGCACTCAAAAGTCCAAGGGGGCAAGGCTCTTGCCGCTGGGCAGACCGACGACGGGCGAGCGAGGCGCGGAACTCCGACGGCCTCCGACGGAGGTGTGCTGGGTGGGGGAGACGCGTGCGGACTGCGCCAAGGGGACCTTCGGTGGGGCTCCCTATGGGGCCACGACGCGCTGCCCTGGGCGGGGCAACCGCGCGCGCACTGCGCCACGGGGACCTTCGGTGGAGCCCCTTATGTGGCCACGAAGCATTGTACTGGGTGCGGGGGACGCATGCTGATTGCGCCACGGAGGCCTTCGGCGGAGCCCCTATGGGGCCACGAAGCGCTGTACTGGGTGGGGGAGACGCATGCGGACTGCGCCACGTTGACCTTCGGTGGGGCTCCATATGGGGCCACGAAGCGCTGTACTGGGCGAGGGAGACGCATGCGGACTGCGCCACGGGGACTTTCGGCGGGGCTCTATATGGGGCAACGAAACGCTGTACTGGGCGAGGGGGGGCGCATGCGGACTGCGCCACGGGGACCTTCGGCGGAGCCCCTATGGGGCCACGAAGCGCTGTACTGGGTGGGGGAGACGCATGCGGACTGCGCCATGGGGACCTTCGGTGGAGCCCCTTATGTGGCCACGAAGCGTTGTATTGGGTGGGGGAGACGCGCGCGGACTGCGCCAACGGGACCTTCGGTGGGGTTCCCTATGGGGCCACGACGCGCCGCCCTGGGCGGGGCAACCGCACGCGGACTGCGCCACGGGGACCTTCGGCGGAGCCCCTATGGGGCCACGATGCGTTGTACTGGGTGGGGGGGACGCATGCGCACTGCGCCACGTTGACCTTCGGCGGAGCCCCTATGGGGCCACGAAGCGCTGTACTGGGTGGGGGGGACGCATGCGGATTGCGCCACGAAGGCCTTCGGTGGGGCTCCATATGGGGCCACGACGCGCTGTACTGGGTGAGGGAAACGCATGCGGACTGCGCCACGGGGGCCGTCGGTGGGGCTCCATATGGGGCCACGAAACGCTGTATTGGGTGAGGGAGACGCATGCGGCGCCACGGGGACTTTCGGCGGGACTCTATATGGGGCAACGAAACGCTGTACTGGGTGGGGGAGACGCATGTGGTACACACCACAGGGGCCTTAGGTGGACCTCCCTATGGGGCCACGAAACGCTGTACTGGGTGGGGGGGACGCATGTGGTACACACCATTGGGGCCTTAGGTGGACCTCCCTATGGGGCCACGAAGCGCTGTACCTGGGTGGGGGAGACGCATGTGGTACACACCACTGGGGCCATGGGTGGACCTCCCTATGGGGCCAGGAAGCGTGAGAGGAGGAGAGGAAGGAGGGGGAGAACATGAGGAGGAAACGCGGGGACCGTCTCTTCAAAACGAGGACCCAATAACACAGGTTGGTTGGGGAAAAAACGTATCCCGGCAAAGTAACCTAACAGCGATGTGTATAAGCATATTTGGAAGCATCCCCTTTAAGATTCATGTGATAATCCAGTTGTAGAGTTCTGCTGTTCTCGCAGCTGCAGTCGCATTCGCAATGACAGTCGCAGTGACAACGGCCTCAGCCTCAGCACGCATCAGCCTCAGCCTCAGCCTCAGCCTCAGTCTGTCGTAGCCTCAGCCTGCTTCAGCATCAGCCTCAGCCTCAGCCTCAGCCTCAGCCTGCCTCGGCTTGCTTCAGCCTCAGCCTCAGCCTGCCTCGGCCTCAGCCTCAGCCTCAGCCTGCCTCAGCCTCAGCCTCAGCCTGCCTCAGCCTCAGCCTGCCTCGGCCTCAACCTCAGCCTGCCTCAGCCGCAGCTTGCCTCAGCCTCAGCCTCAGCCTCAGCCTCAGCCTCAGCCTGCCTCAGCCTCAGCCTCAGCCTCAGCCTCAGCCTCAGCCTGCCTCGGCTTGCCTCGGTCTCAGCCTCAGACTGT